CTAGCAAATTTAAAATAAATACATATGTTGATTGAAACTTATATAGTACGTTATTATGTATATGATAGGATTGAAAATTAATAGATAAGAAAAATTTTGTATCTTTTATGAAAATATAAGAGAAATTTTGAATAAAAATAATGTAAAAAGAATTTTGAACATTTTTTTATAGTATAATTTTTTTTAATATTTTAGCCAACTTAAAATTACGTTAATTTAGGCAATACTATTTCTTGATCTTTTGATGAAATTTCTTATTTGTTATATTTTAAAAGTTATGATAACAGTTTGTAAGAACATGTTTATAAATAATTAACAGAGAGTTTATGATAAATTCAACAGGAGATAACACTAAAATAATTTATTATAAAGAATTGACTATCTGAAGAGAAAAATTCTTTCTAAAATTATATATATATATACGCTTCTAATAAAAAATTCTTCTTTTTAGCCAAGTGTTCTATCTTTCTTTAGCAAAATTTTAAATTTAGCTTACCATTGTGTCTAAGTTCATTGTTATTTTATCTCTCAAAATTTAACCTAAGATATTAATAAGGTTCTAGAAAACTACTTATATTAAGATCATAATTTCATTTTCATATTTAATTAATTAAAAATGATTACTGAGTATATAATTACAAGAACCTTAAATCCATAGGAACAAAAAGTTTTGTGGAATCTTTCTCTCTTGGTTAGTAGGTCATGTGTCTATTCATGGACCCTTAATCTAAACCATCTAGGCCTTTACAAATCAAGATCTACTAAATTTAATTATTGGTAAGGTACCAAATTTGTACTCTAAATTTGATCAATTTTATATCTTAATTTTAAATATTTTGTTCTAAAAGTAATCCATAATTTTTTTTTCCAAAATACTATTTAGTGTAAATGGTGTTACAATTTTACAAATTTTTTACTTAATAATAATAATAGTAATTTAATTAAATTATTTTTAAAAAAATAAAAGAACTACAAAACATTATTGATATAAAATGACAAAGTAAGGTGGATTGTAATTTGGAATTAATACATATAATATATGGTTAATAACCAAAGAAACATTGGCAAATAAAAAATAAAAAATTTATTCATTATGTAACACCCCAAAATAAAATTGTATGTAATTTAAAAATTAATAAATATAATTTTTTAATTTTTCATTTAATTTAGGGTTAAAATGAAGTAAAAATTGAAAGATGATGAAATTGAAAACAATTTTGGGAAAAAGGGATAAAATTTAGATTCTAAGGGTATTTTTGAAAGAAAAATTAAAAATTAGGGGTCAAACGACAATTTAAAAAAGTTCTGTCACGTAGGACGCCTGGTCAGCAGCTCCGTTCAATCAGGACGCACCGCGTGGCAGCGGACATTGATGCGGTGCCACGCGGGAGGCCACTTGACTGATTTGCGAGCCTGCAATCGAACGACCCAAATCCGTTCCCGTGCACACGGATGACCCAAATCCGTTCGAGTGCGCACGAACGACCCAGATGCGTTCCCTCCCCAAACGCGATCGAACGGTCCAGATTAGATCGCGATGGACAGTCTAGATTGGATCGCGATAAACGGTCCAAATTCATCCCCTATTTAATCACGATTGGACGGTTCAGATCAAATGCGATGGACAACTCAGATCAAAAGCGGACGGATATAAATAACCACCATTCGCACCAATCCTAACCTTAGCCGCCAAAACCCCTAGCTGGAGAAGAAGACTTGGCCACTGGGAAGGAAACCACCGCCGCACCGGAGCTTTTTCTGACTGCCAAAAAAGGTAAAAAAAATTTTATTTTACTTGAAATTTAATTTTAAGCACACCCATGACTAAATCGGAGCAAAAATACCGGCCAATTGGTCGAAAAATACCGGCAAAATTCGGCGGTGCCGCCACGAGAAATTTCACAAAACGCATCCGATGAGGCCTTTTATGTTTCTTGTTATGTGTAATTTTTCCACCATTGTAATAACCGTGTCCTTCTCTACAGGTTGATTGGAGCAAAACACACAACCACAACATGAGCCGGAGTAGCCGCCGCACTGGAGAGCCCCACCACCGGTGAGTTTCGATTTTTTGTATTTTTTCGGACAATTGAAACCCTTTAACGTGCTTTCTCGCATGGATCGATGCAGAATCTGCCAAATTCGGTCGAAAATGGTAAAAAAAATTGACCCGAGGCGGATCGTCACCACGGGCGGCGACACCGTCGTTGGAGCACGGCAGAGCTACCGTGCCAGAATTTTGAAATTGGCCTAGTGGGCTGTAACACCCTAATTTTTTTTATTATTATTAGTATTATTTTATTTTATTTTTTTATATATAAATATAATAATTTATTATGCAATAATATATGGTATTAAATTAGTTTAATTTAATTAAATAGAAATAATAATAATAATAATAATAATAATAAAAAGAGATAAAATTATTTTTAGAATTTAATTGGAAATAATTTTGAAAAAAATGGGTGAAAATTTGGGTTATTGAGGTATTTTTGAAAAGAAAATTGAAAACTGGGGGTCAAAACGAAATTTAAAAAAATTTCACCACGTCAACAGCTTGGTCAGCAGCCCCGGCCAACCAGGACATGCCACGTGGCAGAGACACTGACGCGGGAGGCCATGTGGGCGATCCGCGTGCGCGCAACCGAACAGCCGAGATCCGTTCTCGCGCGCACGGACGGCCTAGATCAAAGGCACGTGCGGACAGCCCAAATTGCACGCATATGAAAGGCCCAGATTGAATCGCGCACAGACGGTCCAGATCGCATCGCGATGAACGATCCAGATTCATTCTCTATTTAATTTCCATCGGACGGTCCAGATTAAATCGCGATGGACGGCTCAGATTAAAAGTGGAAGGCTATAAATAATCACATCCACACCTAAATCCTAGCAGCCAGAGCTCTTGCCGGAGAAGACAGCCCAGCCACCCGCCTCCGCACCGGAGCACTTTCTGGCCACCAAACGAGGTAAAAATTCTCCCCTTGGCTCAGATTTTGATTTTAAACCCACCTGTGGCCAAATCGAAGCCAAAACACTGGCCAATTGGCCGAAAAATACCACCGAAGCCCAGCGGCACCGCAGTGGGTTTTCTCTATTTTTGCCTCCGATGAGGCCCTTCCTGATTCCCGTTCGATGTAATTTTTACACCATTATGACCACCGTTCCTTCCTCTACAGGTTGACAGGAGCAAAATACCAAATCGCGACTCGAGCCAAAGGAGCCGCCCGCCAGATAGCTCTGCTACCAGTAAGTTTCGATTTTCGGTATTTTTTCGGCCCACTGAGGGCCCTAGGGGTGTTTTATCACAGGAACCTATGCAAGTTTGGCCAAATACGACCGAAAACGGTCGCAAACAGCCAACCTGAGGTGGACCGCTGCCGTAAGCGGTGGCGCTGTCGCCGGAGCACGGCGGAGCTGCCGTGCCGAAATTTCGAAATTGGCCGAGTAGGCCCTGGGTCTGATTTTGAGTTATTTGGAGACATGTGCAGGTACCATACGTGCATTTCAGTTCATGAGAAAAAATTTTAGGGAATCTAGGGACTGCCCGTAGGCACAGTGAAAAATCAGTTTTAGACTTCGAATGAAGTAAGAATCCCTCACCCTATTTCCTATCGCAGAATTAGAGTTCAATTGAATGGAAATATCGTATTTTTGTAATTAATAGATATGTATAATT